AGGAGAAGGAGAAGGAGAAGGAGAAGGAGAAGGAGAAGGAGAAGGAGGAGTGGGATCTGATGGATGAGCAAAGAGGAGGTCACTGCACAGAGGGGATGCGGGCAGAGCAAAGGTGTCAGTGCAACACTGCGAGGAGATGTGCTAAGCCCAGGGTGAGGGCAGCTCTCTGACAGCACGGCAATACACACAGGCCCTTCTGGTCCTTGAGAAAACCAGGCTCAGCCTCCACTCGTGGAGCCAGCAGGTCCTACCGGTCCCCTCACAGCCAGGGCTCAGCACGGCCTGGCCAGCCTTGTGGCACGGTGCGGGGAGCAGCGCAGACAGCAGCAATATCTGCCTGTGCCATCTCCTGACACCCAACACAAAGCAGCAATTAAAAACCCCTTTAAAAGCTACCCCAGTGATGACAGCGGTCCACTGCGGAGCACCAAACCACACTGGACCACATTTTATGCTGACATCGTTTAGTCGAGCAAGAAAGAACAGCTTCTGACTGCAAAACCCAGTCGGGACTCCTGCTGGTTCTTGCTGGGAGAGAAACCACCGAACGTCAGCAGGTCTTTCTGGATCACAAAGCAGATAAACTTCCCTCAGACCTAACTTCCTCCCCTCAGCTCCCTGCAGCTGCCAGCTCTGGGCTGGGGACAGTTTGCCAGAGCAGGGAGGACGGAGCTGCCATGGGGACGTGCAGCTCTTGGCGGGCAAAGGGAGACTGGAGTGCACCAGGGCTGTCTGTGGCTCACAGGCCCAGGGCTGTGTCTGGTTATTTTCGGTTTAAGACACACACTTGTTCCACAGAGGAGCTGAGGGAGTGGCAGTGCCTCATGACACAGCCTGCATGCGTGAAGGCACCTCTCCTGGTTTGGCTATGGGCAGTATTTGGCTATAAGCAGCAGCATCCTCGCTCGGCAGCACTGCAGGTGCAAGGAGAGGTGACACAAATTCATCCCTGGGTGCAGCTCGCTGCCCCTGCACAGCACGCAGGAGAAAACAGAGTCACTCAGGGCCCCAAAGCAGACACAGCAGGGTACATTTTTCACTCAGAGGGCAGTAAGGCCCTGGCACACTGCCCCTGTGTGGACACTCCATTCATGAGGTGCTCGAGGCTAGGCTGGATAGGGCCCTGGGCAGCCTGGTCTGGTGGGAGGCAACCATTCCACAGCAGGGGAGAGTTGGAACTGATGATCTTTAAGGTCCCTTCCAACCCAAACCAGGCTACGATTCCACGTCCTGCAGCTCAGCACCACACTGCAGGTCTGTGCTAACTGCTGTCCCTGACAGCCAACCAGCAGAGCAGCCAAAGAGCCCCCCTACGAAACACACAGAGCCTCCTGCAGCGAAGAGAGCTAGACAAGCTGTTGACATCTAACACCCAGCAACGTTCAGCCTCGGGATACAAGGCTTGTTTACAGAGCTGCCACATCCCAGCTGTGAAGAGCACTGCTGGAAGGGGCCGCCTGTCCCCCCCCCGTCCCTCCCGCCCGCCACGGCGCAGCACGCAGCCCACCTCCAGCATTGGTGATGGTGACAGGCACACCCTGGACCTGCACCCCGTTGATGTTGATGGTCTGCATGGCCTGTGCTGCAGCTGCCAGCTGGGCTGCACTCAAGCTGATGACTCCTCCGGCAGGCGCGATCTTTGGCAGCGGACGCTCCTTGCGTGCGGTCGGTTTCTTGCTGCTGGATGCTGTGCCAGAGTTGCGGGACACGGGGCTGCTGCAGGAGGTGCTGGATGGAGCCACCGTCACGGCCGGGGCTTCCTGGAGCAGCACTGTTTGCAGTTCACCCGATGGTGTTTTGAAATAGACCTGATGGAGGAGGAGGGGGGGGGGGGGGGGAGAGAAAAAGAATGAGACTGGTTGAAGCCAGCAGGGAAGGGCAATCTCCACTCAGAAATCCAGAAGTGTGGGCCTGCAGGAAGCCACAGAGAAGCTGCCCACGCCTCTTAAGACACTGGGCCTCCCGCAGACTGGTCCTGGCCCCGCAACAACAGCAGAGGGCTGCTTTAGCTTTGCAGCCTGGTTTCCAAAGGTAACACCAGCAACAGTCCTGCAGCCTGTGAGTCTGCTCTCCCACCTCCCCAAGCTTCTGACAGGCAGGATAACTCCAGCCTGAGCTGAAAGCGCAGCAGTTTGCAAAGACACGGTGCTCCTAAAAGTCCTGTGAAAAGAGGCAGCCAGGGAGAGGCTCAGTAAAGCCCCAGTGAGGGAGCGGCTGCACTCCCAACCCTTCTTGGGCATCAGAGAATCCACGCCTGAACCTGATGCCAACCTGGGGATGTGTCTCACAAAACTCTTCAGCTTTTTAAAAGCCCGAGGAAGGGCTTGGAGTAGAAGGGACGTCACAGCAGATGATGTACCTGCGTAGGAGCGGACTCTGTCGTCTGGATCTGGATGTTCTGGGAGGACTTCTGGGGGACGGTGGGGAGCGTGGCTGAGGCAGCCTGGACCACACGCAGGGCCTGCTGTGGGATCTGCACCACCTGGGACTCCTGCTTGGGCTGCACCACCTGCACCTGCTGCACCACGGCAGGCTGCCCAGAGCCCGGGCTCTGCACGATCAGCAGGTTGTTCCCCGCCTGGATGATGTTCTCCGCCGTCGTCTCTATCAACACCGTCTCCACCTGCTCGGCCACAGCCACGGCAGAGGGCTGGCTGGGTGACATGGCTTTCTTTCGAGTCTTTTTGCCAGGCTTTGAGGGGCTCTCTGCAACCACCTGAGCCTGCGTGCTTGACTCTGCAGCGTTCACCAGGTTGTTCACAGGCAGGGTAAGAGTCACGTTGCTGCCACCGCTTAACTTGACCACGTTGCTCGAGCCCTGCACCGGTGAAGCTCCGCTCTTCTGCGCCGGTGCTGGCTTGATGGGCACGGGCTTGTGAGAGGATGAGGATGGGGTGAGAATGGCCTGATTCGTGCCTGGAATAATTTGGATCTGGTTGGTGAGGTTGGGCTGGACTTGGATGGTCTGCCCCCCTGCAGCCTGGATCTGGGGCACCGTCTGGTACTGGATGTTTGCAGACGAGCGAGTCCCTTTGCTGATGACAGTTGGGTTCTGAATGGCAAAAACCAGCTGCCCCCCGGGGTAGGAGGTGCCAACCTGGGAGCCCTGGATCTGGAAGAGATTCCCTTTCGACGACAGGATCCCGAAGCTGTTCTTACCAGAGCCCAGAGGGAGAGGAGCAGGTTTGATGGGGACAAGTTTGCGAGGCGTTGGCTGAGGAGGGGCAGGAGGAGTCACGGCGGCTTCCACTGCTGGGGGACCAATTTTGCTACATGTTGCTGCGAGGAGGGCGAGCGGAGACGGCTGGGAGTCCTGGGAACCAGGAAGGAGACAGGCATGTTAGAGCCAGGGTCTTAAACCAAACAGGGCTGAGATTGAGTCAGAGAGGGAAAGGCTACACGCTATCGAAAGTAACTCAGTCCGCGCCAATTAAACACTGCTTATTAAGTGAGCTGCTTAATTAGCCGTATCACGTGTGCCTTTAGCTCGCCCCAGTCGCACTGCTTTTAGCCATCAGGATGCTGGCTGCCTTTTAATCCCGTGTCTGTGTTCTTACAACCTCCATAAAGCTGCAGACGCCCTTCAAGTCTGCTGCCACTCACACCCATTACACACACCCCGCAGTGCTTCACGTGGTTTTAATCCCAAGACCACCTTGTGAAATCAGCTGCTAACATGACCCAAGAGGTCCTTAAGGAAAACACAGCACTGCTAGGAGCAACAGCTCTGCCAGGAGTGAGGACTGGAGCTGGGAACGTGTCCAGAATGCAGCTCCCCAGCCTGTCTTGCAAGCAGAGCTCCTCCTGTGGGGCACGCTGCCTGCAGGCCCACACCTGGGGCACTGCCCCCGGCCCAGCAGGAGCTCACACCACCTGCACTCACCTGGGCAGTGGAGGCAGCTGGCTGCAGGTATTCACTGGGGCTGACGGCAGCAGTGGCAGCCATGCTGTCGCTCGATCTGCGAGGAGGAAGCAGAAAGACAGGAGTGAGGAGAGCAGTGAGAGCTGAGACCATCGATGTCTGGGGCTCTCCATCGTCACCCAAGATGCGGAACCTTGCGCGCCTTCAGCTGGAGCTGCAGAAGGGGTCAGAGATACAGACTGGTGTTTTTCCAAGCTGGAAAAACATTGTTTCAATTATTTGGGTATGTTGTTGGTGCTGAATGTTTGCAAGTCATTATGTAATTAAAAGGTCATTTGGGGGAACAGCAGAGCTGCTGGCGCTGGCTGGCAGCGGGACCTGAGGAAGCTGAGAAAAGCCACAGGAGAGCCAGGAGGGCACAGCAGCACGGGCACAGACTCCTAAATCCTCACCATTTGTTACCTCTTTTCTTGTAGGCTGGTAAGGTTTCATCCACAAAGCATCCTTTGGCAAATCTCCCACTCAACCCCATCCAGCGGCCACTGAATGGTTCAATAGCTTAATAGTATTTGCCTCAAGAAGGTGCCAGGGAAAACTTGTCCAAGCTCGAATTTCTTTTATTACCACTGCTGACGATGTCCTGACTTCAGCAGGGAGTTATGGCCAAGCTGAGGAATAACAAGCACTTGGGATTCATGGAGGGCATCTCTGAGCTGCAGCCGTGCTGGGGTTGTGCACAGAGACACCCAGACCGCAGGAGCAATGAGATGCAATGGCAGGGCCACGCTGCAAGGGAGACACACAAAGCACGGTGCCAGACAAAACAAGTTGTGTAAGCACTGCAAGTGGCTTTCTGCTGCTCAGCAGGGACTGGGAGGGAGCAGTGGCAGGGCGCTGGTGGATCCCACGCAGGCGAGATGTGGGGCTGAGCAGGGCTGAACGGATGGCACAGCGCAAGGAAGGCAGACACGGGTTGTTTCACAGCTTGTCAGAGGCAGAGAAGTGTTGAAGGAGAAAAGTCCACGCTCCAGACCCTCTCTGCAGCAAAGGTGAGAGGCACTGCGTGCTCACAGCCAGAGAAAAGGATGCGTTCTTCCTGGAAAGCCAGGAGCTTGCACAGCTGCCCAAGCCCAAGGGCTGCACCCTTCCTTTCTGCAGAATTAGGGCACTGCTGAGGATTAGCAGCCCTGACTACAAATAAGAGCAAGCTGAGCTGGCTGGAGACAGAGACATCAGAGAGATCCCATTAGCACACACAAATAAACATCAGTGATGACGGGGGAAGGGGAGGGGGGCGGCGTGCTCACAGCCAGAGAAAAGGTTGCGTTCGTCCTGGAAAGCCAGGA